CAGTAAAATGAGGTAACCAAACGAATGTCGTGAGAATAAGGTAATGAATGAAAAGAATGTGGTAATGGGAAGAAATGAAAGAAAATTACGTAAGGGTAGGTAATGAAGTAATATTCGACGAAGAATGTAGTAATTTGCCACCTCGATGTAGTCATAGAAATGTAATGGCTTACTGCGGAGAAATGAGGTAAAGTCATCGTCGATCACGGGAACAAAAATTTTCCGTAACACCATCTATACGTCAGTAAGCAAGTCATTGAGCTCCCCTTCCTTTATATTTCCTCATAATTTTAACTCTACTACAAGGATACTATCGATTTCTAATTTTTTCTTGTAGTATTTTATATGTGCCACGTGACTTGTAATTTACAAATCGATTAAAACTTTAGACTATCTCCTTATATATCAAATCTATTCCTTTCTTATTTTTTTCCTAACCTTAAATAGCAACAAGGAGTAATTATGTTCTTGGGGCTTAGTGTGAAGAACCTCGTGATACCATAATAACCTTAGCATGACTATCGTATGTTAGTAACGTCAGCTTTGCATCATAACGATAAATATTGAAATTAGTACAGGAAACTTCTAAAGAATGTAAAATTGTTTTTTGTTTTATTATGTACGTAATACTTTCCAATCCTATAAAATGAACATCTCATGGTTGCATATATTCCCACTGATGTTTATAAAAACCTTTTCTTTCTTGAGAATAAATTAACTTTCATAAGTAAAAACTATCAAGCATGAAAGCTCTCAATTTCCTTTTCCTTATCTTGATCGTCTTTACTGTTGTTGTTTGTGCAAACGAAGAAGATTATTATGAAAAAAACCTTACATGTGAAAAGCTTTTCAATGTATCTACTTGCAATGATTGTCAAGAACTAATCTTTCACGATATTAAACAAGATGAAAATGATTGCCCAGCACCTATTAAACTTATTAAAGAAATCTTCAAAGAAATAAAAGAATCTGGTAGGAAAAAGGTTGACCCCTATGATACTACTTATTTCAATAAAGGATTAGAAAGTTATTGTGATCAACCATTCAATTGTGATCCTCAAACCGCTGAAAAATATTGGACAGAAATTGAACATGTTTGTGAAAAAGAATTGAGTCATAAAGTAGATTGGAGCGATGATCCTAGAAAGGTGGATAGAACTACGCTTCTGGTCTTTGGCACTTTATTGAGTTATTATTTCGGAATTCCTGAAAACTATGCTTATTGTTATAAGTCTCCGAACTCTGATGGTATATAATCTCACTTGCACGTATTATCTTGATGTTACGGTTGACGCGGAAATTCAGAAGTTAGGACTTTAATAAAATAATATACTATAAATAAATAGAGTCCAAAACTTCTGCATATGCATCAACCGCAGCAATTATTAATGAATTAATACAATAACTCTATATTTCTTTTAATTATATAGAATTTTGCGTGGCTGAAATTTACGAGAACGTCGCGGAGTATGTCAAGAAAGCCACTAATGAAGATCCGAATCCTACTTTTTCCTTAGATTTCAAATACGTTTTCAAGAGTGATGGTACTAAAATACCCATTCCTAAGAAACTTTTATGCGATG